AGCACCATGACCAAAACAACTCTCACTCCGACTCTCTATGCTTCAGTCTCATTTTTATATTTATATATATAAATATATTTCCCTTTCAAGAAGTCACAGATAGCCTCTGCTCACCGTACACACATGCAGACACACGCAGGCGCACCTCCAATTTACACACACACACACACAAAAAAAAAAATCCATAAACATTATTCAACCTTGGTTATAATTTCCACTGAGCCCGGAGCAACTGTGGTTGTGATGGTAGAAGTCTTTCATCCATCTCAAAAGTCACCGTTGTGTGCAGAGGGCTTTCTTCCCCGCCACCCCCTCGCGGAGCAAAGCTAAAAGTATGAGGGGACAAATTGTGAAAAGATGTCCCGCAGTTATATTTTTCATACAGCTGTCTGGAGTCCATCCATCACAGAAGCGTCAATGCAAATGCCTCACCGCGTTATGAATTTACGCCATCAAATAGGCCCTCGATCTTATTTGCCGGGAGCCGAGCTAAGTCAGAGAGGAGGCTGCGGCTGAATACGCCATTAAAATTCATCATTATATTATAATCACCCATTTCTGCTATGAAATAGCAACTATCACCTTAGTTGCACTCCCCTCCCCCTAAATAAAGCAACTGACTAATGCCAGGAAATCCATCCTAATGAAAGCCCTCCAAACAGAGCAGCCTATTTTACCACCTTGGGGGGCTGCATTAGTAATTTCCAGGACTTTTCTGGCAATTTTATGCCACCCACACTTATTCGTGTCTTAAATATCCGCCAGGTGATGCCAGCTTGTGTAACGATGGCAATTAGGCTGCACTCTGCACGTGGCGCCGGGTTTGGGAAGTTGGTGGTAGCTGTCATTCAACTTCTGCTTAGTTTGTGATTTATTCAGCGTTCTCGCAGCAGTAATTTCCAAACCCTTTTCCGCCGACCTTGAGTTGATGAACGCCGACGGTGAATATTAAATACGTGGGGTGAATGGCTTCCTGTCCTTTTTCGGGTTTCGAATCAGCATTGTCCAAGGTCTGCATGCTCATAAGTTAAAACGGTTCGATTTGCACATTTGTCTCTGCCTGATTCGGGCGCTTGCGCAATAAACCGAGCAGCAGCTGTGACAGCTGAAAGTTTCCGAGTGTTTTATTTTTAAAACGTGCTGGTAGTTCAAAAAAAAAGTTCTCGTCTTCCACCCCGGTGTAGGGGTTTCGAGCATGAACAGACTGTTTGGGGTATTGCAAAGTCATCTCAGTCAGATTTAAGAACAGACTTTAAATAGGCCAGGTTAAAAACCTCATTTTATTTGTTTTTGTTTCTGCATTTCTGAGGCAGGTTCTGTGGTGTGCTTTGGATCCTTGTCCTCTGTCCATATGCGAGTTTCACCTTCAAGGTAAGACTGCTTTGTAAACCCGTTTAAAGCTGTCCAATTGACATGTCTTTACAGCGTTGTGTCTTTGTTACTGCATGATATCAAGCTTCGTTTTCTTGCCACAAGGATCACTTTTCTGTGAATGGCTACGCAGGTTAAAAGTGGCATCAACTGCAGATCCAAGACACATTTTAGCCGCCATTTTACCAGTTAGACTTGGCAGTCACCTCACCGTTTTATTTTTTTTTGGAAAGGATCAGTGTAAGGAGATCTGCAGCAGAGTGAGGGTTAAGTCTTTAAAAGGATGATTCGTGTTCAAACTTCTTTTCTTTGTGAAGAGAGAGAGAGAGCGGGGGCTTTTTTTTCCCTTTTAAATGGGAGCAAAGCTTTTCTCCATCGGTGGCCAAACCTTGACCCTCCAACCGATCTAGAAATAGGCACTCGCTAAGGGAGAAAAAGAAAGAAAGACACTCCAGCCTCTAGCCTTTCCTTTTCACTGCGCACGTACACTTCCAGCTGCCTGAACGTAGATGTGGGTAGTGTACGAACACACACACACACACATCTACCCAGCATGGTTTTCCATTTTGTCACTCTGGGGAGAAGGTGAACTCATATTGTCGACCGCTGAGTAAAACGTTACAGAATATACACGCACACACACAGTCGTGTTTTCATCACTTGTGGGGACTTCACATTGACTTCCATTAATTTCTAGAGCCTAGCCCGAACCCTAATCCTACCCATCACAGACCTAAACACTAACCCAAAAACAATAATTTCCCTCATGGGGACCAAGAAAATGTCCCCACAAGGAGTAATGGTCCCCATAACCCCACATAGACAGAAATAGGTTCCCATAAGGATATAAAAACCTGGTACACACACACACAGACACACATGCATGCATTCACATCCACGTGGACCCAGTAGGCCCAGACCCAGACTATTGGGCCATACTTTTGCTGCTTTTTTTTATTTGACAAATACTCCCAAAAGCGATTGCCCTTGAGCATGCCATTACCTAATCAGGTAGCTGGGAGTTTGTGTTTAATGTTTGAAAGGAGAGAATTTACGAACAGATCATTACAGTTTGAAAAAAATAAATAAAAGTGAGTTATGGTGCTAAATTATCCTAACACTGTTGAGTTATAAAATAAAATAATGCATGTATGAAGCTGAACAACAACTCTTCATGCGCAGTACCTACAGTGATGTCCTTCAGAGTTGCGTCTCTCTGAAGGACATCTCGTTGATGAATCAAGAAGATGAAGGACGAAACAGTTTATGGCATTAAGCTAGAATCAAATGGAACATAGCTTAATTTTCTAGGAAGTTAAAAAAGTTGTTAACATTTTGATGGAAAAAGCTACAAAATGAAAGAAATGCAGACAAAACTCCTGCTGGCTTGGATGACATGTTGCAGATCCTCTTATATCTTTGCATCCTATCTTCCAGGTGCCCCACTTCACTTCAATCCTGCATCAACACAGACCGGCATAAAAGATCCGCAGCGTGGAATTCATCAGGCCGTCTCCCACCGGATGAGTTTGCCGTTTCTGTGTGATTGTCACTGCATGAACAGCTAGAGCTGGAAATGTAGGTTTACCACATACACGGCTTTGCAAAGGTTTTCTGGAACAGGGCGTGGATATGTTTTTTTTTCTTTTTTTTCTTTTTGTCTTTTCACACTTTTAAACTAATCAGGTGTGAACACCTAACAGTTGTGCAACTAATCGTCTTTCTCCCACCTAAGCTGTAGTTATCTGCTGCTCCTCCAAAGTTATCAATAAGCCTCTCAGCTCAGAATGAGGCTGTTCTTCCTCGACGCCTCGGTTTAAGTGAGCAACCATGTCTTGCTAAGTTTGCAGTTTTGCAATCTTGTTTTTATTATCTAAAAACTACTTTAAATTTCCCCAGAAATTTCTCCCTGACAATAAGATTTTCTTGCAAACCTCAGATCCCTTAACACACCAGCTGTATTTGCACAGCTGAAACTCGTTTGCACCGTTAAGGGTTATCAGAGTCATGGAGTTGGTCAAAGGCACACGGCACGTTTCAGATTTTTATTTGTATGAAAAAATGTTGAGAACAATGTCAATCTTTCCCCTTTCGTAACACAATCAAAGACCGCTTCGCTGCTCAACCACGCAGCATTCTTGAAGTTTCTGACTGTGGCGTGAAAGCTTGTGGGGTATGAACAGATTTGCAGTTTTTACTTTTTACTGAAAAGAAGCTTTGGTTTCCTTGGGTCTTACTTGGGTAACATGACTTGAAAATAATTGGATTGTGCAAAATATAATGAATATTTGATCACATATAAGGACTAATCTGAGTAACTAATAGAGAAGACGGATAACCCGCAATGGACAGCGCCGATTGCTTAATGCATGATTAAAATGTTGATTATCGTGACTTTAATTCCCCGTGATTGGATCAGATACTTAAATTACAGTTAAATAATGGAAAAGCGAATGGATTTTCACTTAGGCTAAAGATCTCAGCGACTTCAGCGACTTTTTCATTTAACCGAAAACCACTTCCTCGAATGCAATTAATGGAAAAAGGAATAGAGCCCTAATTTGGAACTAAGGGCCCGTAACAGTGGTCAGCACTGAGACTAATAGCATTGTGCTCAAACAGGAGAGCCTGTGAAGTGGGCCGAGAGTTGCTTTGCCTAATATTCCCCTGGCAACGCGCACATTGATCCCAAGCAGCAAACTTTGACCGTGCAAACAGAGACCAAACAGGGGCACGGAAAAGAAAGAAAAGAAAAATATCAAGATTTTAGTTCTTAATAGAATGTTGGGCAGCGTCGTTCGCTCCGTGCCTGAATAATTCACTTTAGCCAAACTGTTGCTTCGGGTCGCATTCATTTTTAATGACGCCTTTTGATGTTGATTAATTAAGCAGTGCTAGCACTGCTGTTTCTCCACCGTCACAGCCTGTTGAAGGCACCCACATCACACACACACACACACACACACCGCTTCATCTCCCTCTGCTTCCTCACCCTCATCCGTCTAAACCCTAAAGCCTTTACCCCATCTTGATGTGCTCACACACACGGGGATGCGCAAAATCGCGACACTTTCCACGTACGCGTGCATTTACGCACACTGACAGCTACACACCGTCTAAAACCCCCCAAGCTAACCCCCTCCCCAAAAAGAGTCTGCAAGTCTTAAAAGTCTTTTCTTTTAAAAGGAGATTGGGAGGAGCGTGTATGTTTGTGATGGGGAAGCGATGAAGGGAAAGAGAGATTCAAGGAAGAGCGTTGAGGAAGTAGGGAAGGGGGATGCCTCTCAGCAAGCTTGTAGCGCATTACCGCTTGTGTGCGTGCATGTGTTTGCGTATGTGTGTGTGTGTGTGTGAGAGAGAGAGAGCGAGTGAGATGGAGGTGGATAAATATATTGTTAGTCTGTACTGTAAGTCACAACTCAGGGGGCTGGCGTCATGCTAATTAGAACACATGCATGCCTAAACTGGTGCAGAGGAAAGGTGCATGTCTGACGGTGAGCTGGAGAGTAAAATCTAGGCAAGAGTCTTTCATGTGTTTTTATCCAATGGAGACAAGGGCAGGCACGCTGCAGCCAATCAGCAACCCTGAAGTTTATAAATAGAGCTTAGCCAACTGGACTCCTTCATACTTGTTCTCCCAGCAGCCCCCTCTTTCCAAAATGCTCTCCCTCGGTGACACTTGGAAGCAGCACCTACGTGTGAAGCAAAGCGTGTCTTTAAGTGAGGTGTTTAATTCTGAAGGACCCGATTCTCTCTTCTTTCACATTAGAGAAGGTATATGCAGGACTTAGTACTGGTAAAAAAAAAAAAAATGAAAGGAGGAAGCACAAAGTGGGGAATGGGAGACGGTAATAGATGACCACACCAACACACACATACACCTGAGCGGAGGCTGAATACGGTTAGGTGGGGTATTAAAACGCACTGACTATATTTTCCACTTTTCTCGAACACACACACACACACACACGCCTCAAACACACACTTGCACTCCGAGTAACTTGATTTTCTCCTCATAATGAATCATCCGTGTGAGAGAAAGCGAGAGGCCATAATGCATAATGGGGGAGTCTATAAATACCTGGCCAAAAAGCCTCCTGTCATGTTACATTGATCTTAGCATGATCGTGTGAGCCTTTCTGATACCATTAGGATTTCTATTACACAGCTCGGCCCTGTAAGAAGCCCTGGGCAGAAGAAAAGAAAAGGACGCAAAAAAAGAGAAAAGGAACGAAAATCATAATCCAAGTGGGGTTGAGGGGGGCGGGGGGAGAGCCATTTTCAAACTTTGCTCATGATATAAGATCTAATTGCTCTTGGCTAGCATCACTTCCTGAGATTTAGAGTAAAACTGACCATAAAGGAAGATAAAAGCAATAAAAAAGATAACTTTACACAATCAAAAATCTAATCTTACCAATAAAACTTCTCAATATTCTTTTAAATTTCTACTATGTATAGAAATCCATTTATTAATGCACAAAAATGCAGATGTCTGTGATTCTGAATCAACCGGAAAAATGTCAAACTTTTCGTTTTAATGTTAATTTAGAACCTCGCCGTGAGGAACGCTAAAGGAGGAACTTGGATGAGCAAAACTGCAGCACCTGGACAGTTTATGGAGAAAACACTGCAGAAACGCAGTTTGTAACTGAGCAAGAAGCACATCCTGCAGCCCTTTCACTATGAAAAGTAGTGAAAATACTTTGTCACATGCCGAACATAAAGAAAGGATAAACTCAAACATCCTGTGGTGGTGATGTTGTTGTTGGTCACTGTGTTGCATATAATATTTTTTATTCTTTTTTTTTAGTCACAGTGAGGGTCTTCTGAATCATAATTGAATCGAATCGCGAAGTGCCTCTTGTGATGAAAAAAGAAGGGGAAGTCAGAGTAAAATCCCAAGCAGTCCATAGTGACCAGTGGAAAACATTTTACAAGCCAGGTTTTCTTGTCTGAGATTTCTGCGGATGTCTAAAACAACATGTCTGCTGCTCGACGCTCCACGGGGCCGGCAGCTGACAGAAAGCTTCAATTCACCAGGCACATCATTGAGACCACACGAAACCTTTACCACGAAAACATGAAGGCCAGGCAAAGGTTCGCCTGACCGTGTGTACGACCAGGACTTCAGAAATATTCTCTAGGCAGATAAAGTATAAAACTGAATAACTTGGGCGTGGAAACATAAACCAAATATGGCAGTCTAGGAAAAAAGAACCTCGAATCGAAAAGTTTGGAGGTGGGAGTGTTGTGGTGTCATGCTTTGCTATGTCAGGACTGCATCCAGCTCATGTTTGATTTATTTTTGTTAAGGGCAGCTAAATCATTATTTTCAGACATAATGTGCTTTGTGAACATTTACTACAGATAGATAAAGAACCGAATATTTGTTGGGGGGAATTTTTTTCATGGCATTTTCAAAAACTAATTACTACCTGCCTGGATGCAAATAATCACTCTGAGAAAAAAAATCTGTTATATATCTTCTCAAAGTGACGAGTTTATTATTTTTGCTCAAATTTGCACAAAACTGGTTAGGCAACTTCGACTATAGAAATCATGGCTTCAGAAATCCAATGTTCTTTATTTCTAAGTTATTGTCTGAACAGAATTTTAAAATCTCCACTCATCGCGGTTGCCTGGAACGACGAGCCAAAACTGGCAGCAAAGTCAGAGGAAGAAAAAAAAAAAGTTGGCAGCGCGGCTCAATATTATAAGATCATGTTCATTTCACTAAACTGAATATTCTATTCTTTGTGCCAGAAGCTGCTTCAGAGGGGCTTGAATAACAAGCAACATGCTCTCAACAATGATGTCTTTTAACTGTAAATCATGCAAAAATAACTAAATACATTTGAGAGCAACAAATTGAAGAAATTGCGATGAGACTCACCTCTCAACAAGACGATCAGGGAAACTGCACCAGCCCAAAGTGGAACAAAGGCCTTGTTGGCTCAGTGGATTCACCTTGTTTTTAAAAGGAGCTTCTTCGCCTATTGTGTTGTGCCGAGGTATAAAGTGTGCGTCTTAAATTACAGAACATTGTCTGGGCAGCAAATGGAAATTTATCAAACGGACAGAAAACCACTTACAGAGTCAAATATTTTTTTCTCCCCTCTCTCGTCTTTGCAAACGGCACCCATACAAATACAAAAGGCAGACACAAAGTGGGGCAGAATATTAAAAAGCCCCCCGCTGTAGGTTAAAAAGCTTCTCCCTCCATGCTCGGTGTTTTATGTAATAAAAGGTTGCGTGCGCTTCAGAGAAGCTGAGAACTCGTCCTTTTGTTTTTGGTGCAAACAATCCAAACCGTGCGTCTCTCCTCATGCCGTGTTGGCTTGAAGAGCCGGCGCAGCCGTTTGTCGATTGGACAAAAAAGCGGCAGTCAATTTAAAAATAGATTATTACTGATACTTCCTTGAGATTATTGTGATGTGTTTCAGATATTAGTTCCTAGAATTCATGGTTTTGGTCTTGGAGCTACAAGACAGACTTTCTGTGACATTAAACTAATTTTGGATACAGTTTGTCATCTGTAATGCAGCACGTCATAGTCTGTTTTTCTCTCTCGAGTTTTTTTTATTATAAGCCGACCTTACTCAGATGGCAACACGTAAGGTAACTAATCAAAGTTCTTCTAAATACGTTTGAGTGCGTTTTCTTATTTTTCTTGTCTTTATTTTGTATGTTTTTAATCAAATTCCTGTTTATTTGTAAAAAAAAAAAAAAATTAATACAATGTTGAATCCTTTATAAATCAGATGCAAAGAATACATCCGAATGTACCACGAAATTTGCAAAACCTCTATCATAAAGTTTATAATGACAGATTCTCGTGTCTCTTGTCTGATGATACGCACAATTTAGAAACAGTTTTCCTTCCTCTTGGAAAAAAAAAAAAGAGACCAGTCATCTCTCATTAAACCAAGGCACAACATTTACCAAACTCAAGTGGTTTGGACTTCATTGGATTATGAATACACTCTTTGCTCCTACTCAAACACTAAAGCCACAGCAAACCATAACATTTTCTGTTTTATCTTAAATGAGCTAATTACCACAAACAAAAACATGAATTTGTATTCGGGCCCCTAAGAGAAAACTTTGGAAATCACCCTCTTTCAACATTGCAGATCTAGATACAAGCATTTCTGTTCATTTGTCTTTATAAAAGAAAAAAAAAGTTTTGTCTGATTTCACGCAGAGCCTCAGATTCTCAACCAGATTTAGGTCTGGACTTTGACTGGACCGTCCCATCACATGAATATGCTTTTGATCGGTGCATTTTTACGGTGATTGTCCTGCTGGAAGACGAAGCTCCACTCTAGTCTCAAATCTTTTGCAGCTTCTAACATCTTTCCTTCTAGACATGACTTGTGTTCATCTCTCCATTTTCCAATCATCCCTGACCAGCTTCCCTATGAATACAAAAAAAAAAAAAAAAAAAACACGCTCACAGCACGATGCCATCATCACCATGTGTTGCTATTGGACTGGCATGTAGATATTCAACAGTTTTCAATCTTTTATGCAGATTTGCATGTAGGCTGCATGGTTAAATGTCGGTCTTACTTTTCCAGTGCAGCTACTTTCATATGATTTCCGTGTCTCCTACGTTGCTTGAAGAAAACTGCAAATGGGAGTTCTTGCGGCTGTCTTTTAACGATGGATTTATTCTTGCCAATCTTCTGTAAAGTTCTCTTTGGTGGAGTTTGCCACCAAACCCGTCAATACATTTTCCTCCTTGAGCTGTGAATCTCAGTAGCTCCTCCAGAGTTACCATGAACTTCCTACCGCCTTTCTCATTTTTTCACTTTTGGATCATGGCTTTTGCACTGCTTTGTGTTGTCTATCTCGTAGCATCTCATTAAAACACACGGTTTGTGGCTTTAAAGCGAGACCTTGGGGGGGGAAAAAAGCGACTGCGCCTTTGATCAGAGCTTTTTAAAAACTCTTTCAAAGAGCGGGGTTGTCTCCCTCGCTGCTAAATGATTTCACCTCTGTCTGCAGTCAGGCAGCAGCTGTGGATACAGCAGAGTTTCTCTCTTTTTTTTCTACCTGCAGAAAAAGCTGTTTGTTGTCATTCATGCTTATGCAGCGTGAAAAGCAACTTCTGCCGACTTGAAAATTGCTTGAGCTGGATAATCCACCGGTAAAGCCCCAAAATGTTTACCGTCTTATCGTTGGTGCGATCGTGTTTCGCTTTTCTTAACATCAGTCACCTCTGAACCAGAGTTTAGTCTCGATAAATATTTGCGGAGCGTATTACGCGGCTTTGGTCGTGATTAAAACGCTTGATTCAGTTTTCCTATTATCGCATTTTTCAGGGTCAAAAGCTCCACTTTTCTTTCCCGTAACTCAGGACTGAATTATGAGAGTTTCCGAGAAAGCATCTGTGCAGTGATTTTTAAAACACAACGGCAAGAGTGTTGATATTTGCATGTGAAATTCTGGATGGAAAAAAAAATATTAAATGCTGTCTGGCTTAGAAAAGTAAGTTTAAATGCTTTTAATGGAGCAGAGCCTGCTGGATCCCTAAGGCGGCAGCCAGCAAGAACTTCTTTTGAGGTTGCAGTGTATTTCTAAGGGTCCACAGGGCTACTAATAGGGCGACTTGGGAGAGCAAATGCAGATATCACACACTATCAAAACACACACACACACACAACTGACTGTACACACACAACATCACACTGAGTTGGTCCTGTAGGGAGATTAAGGCGAGCGCTGTTGACAGATAATGCCGAAACACAGAGGGTCTGACACAGGAGTGCGTGTGTGTGTGTGTGTGTGTGTGTGTGTGTGCGTGTGTGTGTGTGTGTGCGCGGTCCCTCAGTAGGGAATACCAGCTGGCATGCTGAGAGTCCTAAGTAGCTGTGGGTACAGGAGGGGGATCATCGTCATCCAAACACGTAAACACACACACATGCAAACTTCTCAACAGGCCTGACGAATTAGATCTCAAAAGTTACAAATCGGAAGAGGCACTATCTAGGAACATTAAATGGTTTCTATAAATGAATACACAATGCATACCGAAAGTATTCACACCCAAAAAAACCCTATTCATATTTTTATCTCGCCTCGAACGCAAACCCGGCTTTGGCCGTGATTAAAATGCTCGATTCGGTTTTCCTATTGTCGCATTTTTCAGGGTCAAAAGCTCCGCTTGTCTTTTCCGTGAGTTTCCGAGAAGGCATCTGTGCAGTGATTTCAAAACACGGCAAGTTTCATGCAGTAGAACAACATAGGAAATGAGAAGGAAAAGGCCATGTTTATGCTAATTCTGATGCTAAAAATCAGTGTTGTGCATCAGCAGTCAAGCCCACTCGATAGTTTTTGCACAACCACCTCTAAAGTCGTGAAAGTCACCGAGCCATTCTAACAAACGAATGAAATTTGATCAAAAATCGTTCCACTAAAGTTCTTGCTGTTTGCTTGTGGTTGCCCTCCTGTGTTACTTGTTCCTATAGTGCATAAAAGCTGCCTGTAGCATGATGCTGCCACTGTGCCTGAGGAGTGTACACTGGAGCTGAATTCATCCAGCTACATTCACAAATACACCACGTATACTGTTACTCTGCCCAAAGGCACTTCAGCCTTTGGCTTGGAAACGAACTCCAATCTAACCTACAACTGCAAGTTAACTACACGCTCCCTACAATGTAAATCAGTTCTTGTCAGACTTGTGTCATCCGTAGACATTGACGTTTTAGCCTTGGGGGTTGCACCAGAAACAATTTTTCATGACTTTCTTCTCGCCGCTCTGCCACAAAGGATTTGTGGAGTACGCAGCTAATATTTGCCACGTGGACAGATCCTCCCGTCTTGACTAACTCCTGATTAATGTTGAGGTGGGCGGCCACGAATCGGTCGGTCATAAAGTTGAGCCGTACTCTTTCCGTTTTCCGCTGCTGGACCGATCGGTCCTCTGTGAGACGTTCAGAGGCTTACTTCGAAACCGAACTCTGCTTTAAGCGTCTCCATTACTTTAATCATAAGCTATCTGATGTTACTTGATCTTCATGATGCAGTTTGTTCACTAATGTTCTCTAAGAAACATTTTATGGGCTTCACAGGACCGCTCTGACTGAGGTTAAATTACACACAGGAGGAGCCCTGTGTGACTTCTAAAGGGAACGTCTCCCACTGACTTTCTTTTAGGTGTATCAAAGAGGGTTGACCAAAAAAAAAGGTTAGTCTTTTCAGATTTCTAGTTATATAAAACTGAAAATCTTGCACAAGTGTGCTCAAGTTGGCGTTAAAATACGTGGAAGTTAGTGGCAGTAGCTTGACAAAATGTGACAAAGCTCAGTGGGGTGTGAATACTTTCTAAAGAAACTGTACAGAATGAGGACACCACGCCTCAGCTGATAAAAGAAAAGCTTGGAGAGCAAAAGCCGGCTTGATGCATTTGTTTGCAGGTGTGTGTGTGTGTGTGTGTGTGTGTGTGAAGAAATGGAGAGTGTGTGTGTGTTCCTCTCTTCCCCCTTTAATCTGTGCATAGGGGCATTGGTGGGAATCTGCACACCGTGCTAAATCAATACACTCCCGCCCGCTTTAGTATGCTTCCGCATGAGTGTGTGTGTTGTTTCAGAGCGCGTGTGTCTTAGTATGCGGCTCAGATAGAGAGAGCGAGAGAGAAAGAGAGAGGTTACATAAGAAGAAAGAGGGACACACTTAAGTGGTTTTGACCTTGGGTACATCTTCCATCATCCCCTCAAAGGTCTGCTGCCCATCTTCTTTAGGCTAAATAAACAGACTTTATTTCAAGCTCGATGTGCAGTCATAAAGCTCCGCGGCGTGTGAACACCATGCATTTGTTCGTATAGATTAGGAGTCCGAAAGCAGAGCCGCACCAAACTGAGGGGACTCTGGGATTCCTCCTCTCCATCTTTTTCTTCTTCCTTCCCGTCTTTATCTGTATTGTCTTGTCCCTCCATCCTCCTCTCTCCCTCCGATATCTCCCTAACCTCCTTTGTTCCGTCAATCCATTCTTCTGTCCTTCTATGTTTGGCCAGTGTTGAATCTACTCTATCTCTCCCCCCTGCCCCCCTCCACCAACCCCCTTTTGCCCCTGAGTATCTCCTCATCCGTCCAAATCCGTCCTCGTCTTGCGAAGATTTTCTTTAACTACTCTTTTTCTTTTCATGTAAGATTCCCTTTTCTGCATCCCTCCCTCTCCTTCATCCTCATCCCTCATTCTGAGTGACCGCCGGTCCCCGAGGCCATGGGCGCATCAGACTGGCGAAGCTCTATCTTCCATCACTCGCCATCTCCCTCCCCACCCCCAACTCTTTCGCAAACTCCCGTCTCTTTCACTCGCTCTTTCGCTGCTGGCAGCATTGGCAGCATGACAGTGCTTTCCCAGGGCAAGGCCTTATGTAAACAGCCCCATAGCACCAAGCTCTGTGTGTGTGTGTGTGTGTGTGTGCCTGTGAGAAGGAGTGTTAAATTTCCTATGTTGGGCTGCAAAGAGAGAAAAAGGTACACACAGAGCGCTTTTTCGGTGTGCTCGTCTTTGTATGTGTGTCAAGAATGCCTGTTAATAGCGGTGGAGGTCAGAATCCCTCCAGTTGCTGATAAAGTGTACACATAAAGGTTAGGATCCCTCTGAACCCGCCTTCTGAGAGAGTGCAGCGCGCGCTCTCTCGCATTTCCTCGCTTTTATTCCGCAGGCGCGTTTTGCCGATTGAAGATGATACGGCGGCTGCCGTTTGATTGGTTGACAAAGCTGTCTTTTGATTGGCCCAACTCCCCGCTCTTTCCTCCCCCTCCCCCTCCCCCCAGGGGTGATGGGGGGGGGGGGGGGGTTCCACCCCCCCCCCCGGCCGCCCTTCAGGAAAATTTACCAAAAATTTTTTTT